ATATATATATATATATATATAAAGACACACAGGCTCCTACGTTCTTAGCTGCTGCTGCTGCAGCAACGGCAACAGCAGCAGCAGCAGCAACAGAAACAGCAGCAGCAGCAACAGGAGCAGCAGCAACAACAGCAGCAGCAGCAACTGCAGCAAAACATCGACACACCTCAGAGCAGCTCGCTGAGCCACGGAAAGGGAAGGGAGAGAGGTGTATGTACACCCCGACTCTGTTGCTGCTGCTGCTGCTGCTGCTGCTGCTGCTGCAGCACATATGCTGCAGTGCTGCAGCCTCTCGCGCAGCAGCAGCAGCAACCTGAGAAACACAAAACAAAGCAACGCCAACGGGCGCAGCAGCAACAAGAGCAACGTACTGCAGCAGCAACAGCAGACAGAATCAGCAGCAGCAGCAGGCAGCAGCAGCAGGTAGCAGCAGCAGCAGCATCAGCAGATAGCAGCAGTAACAGCAACAGCAGCAACATCAGCAGCATCAACTGCAACAGGCAGCAGCATCAACAGCAGCAGGCAGCAGCATCAACAGCAGCAGGCAGCAGCATCAACAGCAGCAGGCAGCAGCAGCAGCAGCAGCAGCAGCAGCAGCAGCAGCAGCAGCACCTTGCTGCGTTCCATAGTTTAATGAGGGTCCTAGAGAACTGCTGCAGCTTCGATTCATCAACAGCAGCAAAACGCGAAGACACAGACACCGACAAAAGAGACAACCTGCATGCAGCAGCAGCAGCAGCAGCAGCAGCAGCAGCAGCAGCAGCAGCAGCAACAGCAGCAGCAGCAGCAGGAGCAAGAAGAAGACCAGTGGTACGTATACCCGCGTACAACCCTTCCATGTAATTTATCACCAGCAGCAGCAGCAGCAACAGCAGCAACAGCAGCAACAGCAGCAGCAACAGCAGCAGCAAGAAGACCAGTGGTCCTTTTACCTGAGTGCATCCGTTCCATATAATGTATCACCAGCAGCAACAGCAGCAACAGCAGCAGCAGCAGCAGCAGCAGCAGCAGCAGCAAGAAGAAGAAGAACAAGACCAGTGGTGTGTATACCTGAGTGCATCAGTTCCATAGGAAGTGGTCCATTGGTCTGTTTGGTGTTTAATGGTGTTTCCCTTTGATTTACTTAATTTATTTTTTTGTTTATCTACCAGCAACGGGTGCAGCAGCACAAGCTTATAGGGTTGCTGCTGCAGCAGCAACACAGACAGCAGCAGCTGCCTATACACCCAAAAAGGCAGTATATCGTGGCCAGTTACCACGCAAGAATAAGGATACAAAGAAGGAACAAACACACC